GTCCCGCCTTAGGCAAGTAAGGCCACTGGGTGACTTTGGACCAATCACTAGAAGACAGTGAGTTCTAGTTCTGCCTTAGCCATGAAAGCTGGCTGGGTGACTCTCGGCCAATCACCAGGAAACGGTGAGTTCTAGTCCCACCTTAGGCAAGAAAGGCCACTGTGTGACTCTGGGCCAATCACCAGGAAATGGTGAGTTCTAGTCCTGCCTTAGGCAAGAAAGGCCACTGGGTGACTTTGGACCAATCACCAGGAGACAGTGAGTTCTAGTTCTGCCTTAGCCATGAAAGCTGGCTAGGTGACACTGGGCCAATCACCAGGAGATTGGGAGTTCTAGTCCTGACTTTCTTAGGCAAGAAAGACCACTCGGTGATTTTGGGGCAATCACTAGGAGGTGGTGAGTTCTAGTCCAACCCAGTGAAATTTGATTGGGTGACCTTAGTCCAGTTCCTCTCTCTCTGCCCAACCCACCTCACAGGGTGGTTGTTATGGGGAAAATAGGAGGCAGAAATTGTATGAAGTATGTTCACCACCTTGAGTGATTTGTAAAAACAATAAAGGAGCGATGTAAATAAACAAATGCATTTTTAAAAAGTGTTCAGTGTAACCCGATTATTTGAGGATGTTCCGTGAACTCAAGCAGCACCGTGCATTTGAGAGTTACAGTAGCTGAGTGAGGAAACTAGCTCCCAAAAAGTCTGCAGGAAAATCCTCCACCCCGTTTTCCTACCAATCAATCATTCTTTACTGTCTCCAGCTCCATTCTCAGGGGGAGGGGGAGAGAGAGAGAGAGAGAGAGAGGAAGAGGAAGAGAGAGAGAGAGAGGGAGAGGAAGAGGGAGAGAGAGAGAGAGACTTTTGGCTTCATGCAAGGAAAGCAGCAGACGCAGCAAAAGTCTTTCTTTCTCTCCCCCAAACTCCGTCAGAAACAAGTCTTTGCCGGCACAGCCTCTTGGCCCAGGAGGCTTTGCAGGGTCCCAAAGACTCATTTCTGGTGGAGTTTGGGGGAGAGAAAGAAAGACTTTTGCTGCTTTCCTTGTGTGCAGCCAAAAGCAGAAGAAGAAAGAAGCGGAAAGAAGCAGCCTGGTGGCCAAGCCAGGTGCATGAGGTGAATGGGGCAAGTTCCCCCCTCCTCCCTTTCCCCCCCTCCCCTCACTACCTCATAGTGTTCGCAATGCAAGCGACACAAGCCTTGTGTTCCCACGGGCCACGTGGGCAGCACAGCCTTGTGTTCCCAGGCAGCCTGGATTAATTGCTTTGGGGGTGACATTTCTCTGCGGACCACCAACATTTTCTCATGGACCACCAGCGGTCCCCGGCCCACTGGTTGGTGACCACTCTACTAGAAGATCTCCAAGGTCCCTCCCAACTCTGTTAAATATTGATTTGCAAAAGCTGGACGGGGCTACACTTAGTAGGTTAGATTTTTTTTTTTTTTCCCCCCGAGGCTCAGCGTGTTTTGGCTGTATAAGCCCAGCCTCCTTTGCTGCTTTCCAATCCAAAGTCTTGGGGAAGTTCACACAGCTAAGCGTGTTGTGCAAGGGCAGGCAACATATTTGGAGCTGCAGACTCCTTACTACACCCGAGTGGAAGCAGCTGCCCTGCCTCTTGCTGTCATCCTGGAATCCAGCCGGTTCGGTTGCTGAAACTCAGGAATCTGTAGGTGAAAAACAAGGAAGGAAAGGAAGGAGGACAGAGACCGATGAAGTTGGAAAACAAGCCATGAAGGCCCCGAGATGGGGGACTCCTTGGAGACTCCGTTCCTTTACTGAAGGTGAGAAAACGGAGCAGTTTTCCGTAGCAGGAGGGGAGTAGAGTTGAGTGGGTAGGGCTGGAAGGGAATGGGAAATTCCTATGGGATCCCAAAAGGCTGCTTTTGAGCATTACGTCGTCGGGAAGGAAACTCCAGTTAAGAGATCTTGAATGTGGGGCAAGGAGAATGGCTGTATGTTTAGAACACAGGTCTCCAAACTTGACAACTTTAAGACTTGTGGATTTCCAACTCCCAGAATTTGCCTGCTGTGGGAGTTTGAAGTCCACAAGTCTTAAACTTGCCATGTTTGGAGGGAACAGAATAGAATAGAATAGAATAGAATAGAATAGAATAGAATAGAATAG